CACAGTGTAATGGTGTGTCCGAACATCGTAACCGTTCTTTATTAGATATGGTGCAATCTATGATGTCTCTTACCGATTTACCACTATCGTTTTGGGGTTATGCATTAGAGACAGCTGCATTCACGTTAAATAGGGTGCCATCTAAATCCATTGAGACGACGCCATATGAATTGTGGTTTGGCAAGAAACCAAAGTTGTCGTTTCTTAAAATTTGGGGTTGCGATGCTTATGTGAAAAAGTTTCATCCTGATAAGCTCAAACCCAAATCGAAGAAATGTGTCTTCATAGGATACCCAAAGGAGACAGTTGGGTACACCTTCTATCACAGATTCGAAGGCAAGGCATTTGTTGCTAAGAATGGATCCTTTCTAGAGAAGGAGTTTCTCTCGAAAGAAGTGAGTGGGAGGAAAGTAGAACTTGATGAGGTAACTGCACCTACTCCCTTATTGGAAAGTAGTTCATCACAGAAATCTGTTCCTGTGACTCCTACACCAATTAGTGAGGAAGCTAATGATGATGATCATGTAACTTCAGATCAAGTTACTACCGAACCTCATAGGTCAACCAGAGTGAGATCCGCACCAGGGTGGTATGGTAGTCCTGTTCTGGATGTCATGTTACTTGACCATGACTAACCTACGAACTATGAGGAAGCGATGATGAGCCCAGACTCCACGAAATGGCTTGAGGCTATGAAATCTGAGATGTGATCCATCTATGGGAACAAAGTATGGACTTTGATTGACTTGCCCGCTGATCGGTGAGTCATTAAGAATAAATGGATCTTCAAGAGGAAGACAGACGCTGATAGTAGTGTTACTATCTACAAAGCTCGAATTGTCACAAAATGTTTTTGACAAGTTCAAGGTGTTGACTACGATGAGATTTTCTCACTCATATCGATGCGTAAAAGTATGTCCGAATCATGTTAGCGGTTACCGCATTTTATGAGGCAAATGGATGTCAAAACTGTATTCCTTCATGGATTTCTTAAAAGAAGAGTTGTATATGATGCAACCAGAAGGTTTTGTCGATCCTAAAAGTGCTAACAAAGTGAGCAAGCTCCAGCGATCCGTCTATGGACTGGTGCAAGCATCTCGGAGCTGGAATATATGCTTTGATAAAGTGATCAAAGCATATGGTTTTATACAGACTTGCGGTGAAGCCTGTATTTACAAGAAAGTGAGTGGGAGCACTACAACATTTCTGATAAGTATATGTGAATGACATATTGTTGATCGGAAATAATGTAGAATTTTCTGGAAAGCATAAAGGAGTGTTTGAAAAGAGTTTTTCAAAGAAAGACCTTGATGAAGTTGCTTACACATTGAGCATCAAGATCTATAGAGATAGATCAAGACACTTAATAAGTTTTTTCAATGAGTACATACCTTGACAAGATTTTGAAGTAGTTCAAAATGGAACAGTCAAAGAAGGAGTTCTTGCCTGTGTTGCAAGGTGTGAAGTTGAGTAAAGACTCAAAACCCGACCACAGCAGAAAATAGAAAGAGAATGAAAAGTCATTCCCCATGCCTCAGTCATAGGTTCTATAAACTATGCTATGTTGTTCACCAGTCCTATTGTATACCTTAGCATCTTTCTGGCAAGGGAGTACAATAGTGATATAGGAGTACATCACTTGACAGTGGTCAAAATTATCCTTAGAGGACTAAGGAAATGTTTCTCGATTATGGAGGTGATAAAAGAGTTCATCGTAAAGAGTTATGCCGATGCAAGCTTTTTACATCGATCTAGATGACTCTAAGTCTTGATCTGGATACATATTGAAAGTGGGAGCACTTAGCTCGAGTAGCTCCGTGCAGAGCATTGCAGATATAGAAATTTGCAAAATACATACGTATCTGAATGTTGCAGACCCGTAGGCTAAACTTCTCTCACAAGAAAAACATGATTACTCTTTTGGTGTTAATCACATAGCGATGTGAACTAGATTATTGACTCTAGTAAACCCTTTGGGTATTAGTCACATCGAGATGTGAACTAATCACATAAATATGTGAACTAGATTTTTGACTCTAGTGCAAGTGGGAGACTGAAGGAAATATGCCCTAGAGGCAATAATAAAGTTATTATTTATTTCCTTATATCATGATAAATGTTTATTATTCATGCTAGAATTGTATTAACCGGAAACTTAGTACATGTGTGAATACATAGACAAATAGAGTGTCACTAGTATGCCTCTATCTTGACTAGCTCGTTGAATCAAAGATGGTTAAGTTTCCTAGCCATAGACATGAGTTGTCATTTGATTAACGGGGTCACATCATTAGAGAATGATGTGATTGACTTGACCCATTCCGTTAGCTTAGCACGATGATTGTTTAGTTTGTTGCTACTGCTTTCTTCATGACTTATACATGTTCCTCTAACTATGAGATTATGCAACTCTTGAATACTGGAGAAACACTTTATGTGCTACCAAACATCACAACATAACTGGGTGATTCTAAAGGTGCTCTACAGGTGTCTCCGATGGTACTTGTTGAGTTGGCATAGATCGAGATTAGGATTTGTCACTCCGGTTGTCGGAGAGGTATCTCTGGGCCCTCTCGATAATGCACATCACTATAAGCCTTGCAAGCAATGTGACTAATGAGTTAGTTGCGGGATGATGCATTACGGAACGAGTAAAGAGACTTGCCGGTAACGAGATTGAACTAGGTATTGAGATACCGACGATCGAATCTCGGGCAAGTAACATACCAATGACAAAGGGAACAATGTATACCGTTATGCGGTTTGACCGATAAAGATCTCCGTAGAATATGTAGGAGCTAATATGGGCATCCAGGTTCCGCTATTGGTTATTGACCGGAGATGAGTCTCGGTCATGTCTACATAGTTCTCGAACCCGTAGGATCTGCACGCTTAACGTTTGGTGACGATCGGTATTATGAGTTTATGTGTTTTGATGTACCGAAGGTTGTTTGGAGTCCCGGATGAGATCGGGGACATGATGAGGAGTCTCGAAATGTTTGAGACGTAAAGATCAATATATTGGAAGGCTATATTCGGACATCGGAAAGGTTCTAAGTGGTTCGTGTATTTATGGGAGTACCGGAGAGTTACGGGAATTCACCGGGGAGTATATGGGCCTTATTGGGCTTTAGGAGAAAGAGAGAGGGGAGGTTGTGCGCCCTCCCAAGGCCTATTCCAAATTGGACTAGGGGGAGGGGCGGCGCCCCCTCCTTCCTTCTCTTCTCTTTTCCCTTTCCTTCTCTCCTACTCCTACTACATGGAAGGGGGGGAATCCTACTCCCGGTGGGAGTAGGACTCCCTAGGGCGCGCCATAGTAGAGGGTCGGCCCTCCCCCTCCTCCACTCCTTTATATACGGGGAGGGGGGCACCCCATGGACACACAAGTTGATCAGTTGATCTTTTAGCCGTGTGCGGTGCCCCCCTCCATCATAATCCACCTCGGTCATATCGTAGCGGTGCTTAGGCGAAGCCCTGCGTCGGTAGCATCATCATCACCGTCATCATACCGTCGTGCTGACGGAACTCTCCCTCGAAGCTCTACTGGATCGGAGTTCGTGGGACGTCACCGAGCTAAACATGTGCTGAACTCGAATGTGCCATACTTTCAGTACTTGGATCGGTCGGATTGTGAAGACGTACGACTACATCAACCGCGTTCTCATAACGCTTCCGCTTACGGTCTACGAGGGTACGTGGACAACACTCTCCCCTCTCGTTGCTATTCATCACCATGATCTTGCGTGTGCGTAGGAATTTTTTTGAAATTACTATGTTCCCCAACAAAGACATCAAACAAAGGAAAGGAAAAGTCACCACTCCCCATCGATGAGGTGTCAACCACCGAACACCCAGACGAAAAAGACTGCTTCCAGATTCCAAGGTTGCATCCGAATGACCGACTAGGAAAGACGTCGCTCCTAGCCGCGTGCTCGCAGCCGCCAAATGCCTAACCAGGAGATACATCGAACTCCCCTCAAGCCGCCTACTCCCAGCCGTTGAGATATCCTCTAGCTGCCTCTGCACACAACCGGCTATGATTTTATCCTCTTTGCATCCACGAGGTCTTTTCTGTGCCCACATAGCCAACGCAACAGTGAAAGAATCTCGTGCCCTCTAGAGACGCATCACAATGAGAGCACATGACACGATTGAAGACACCTGAGCCAAGGCATGTCAACATTGACTGACCAGTGGGGAAAGAAGAAAAAGAAACTCCTAATTGTTCTGGGCTCTTAAAATCTTTGCCCTAAATCGACTCATATCTCTCCACTACGCAACCACTTACCAATGGGCCCACCCATAAATAGATCACTCAACAAAGCACAATGTGTTGACCAAGCCAAAATCATGGACCAAATCTCGAATTGGAGAGCTCACTTGATTGAAGGAGGTTTCACCCTTAAGGAGCTTAGTGAGTTAAAGGATTTGTATGAAATTAGTCGATCATGAAATGTGACTTGCTAATTCGTATGAAACTGGTCGATCACAAAAGGCGACTTACTCCTTCTCCCACGCTCCCCTAACCCGCTTGACTTATCGAGATTTAAACATTCGTGTGTATATCCGAAAAGAAAAATATCTATCCTCTCTCGACTCGAAAATGCAAATAGGGCTCGAGCTCTCCATGGAGCTTGTTTTATTGAAAAATTCAAAAAAATCACATTTTAAAGTTCCACAAAAATCTACAAAATCATAGAAGTTCGTATGGATGTATATACTATATATGTGCATAAAGTTTGATGATGATATACATTAAGGTGAAATCTACACATAAAAGACAAATATGTGATTTTGACACGACAAACACTACACACAGTGTTCACTATAAAAAAGTTGCATGAATTTGTCTTTTTCTATGCACCTCGTATGTTAATGTATTTCACTGTGAATTTTTTTACACTTATAGATCATAGCATACATCCATACGAACATACATAATTTATTTCAGAATTTTTGAAGCATTAAAATATACTTTTGATTTCTTTTAAAAGAGCTTCATGGAGCCTGAGCTCCAAAATGCCTCACTCCGACCGACATTTTTTTGTTTTTATGGTGAGTCTTGACTTAGCTTATATCTCTGGTCAAAATACCAAACTTGAACTAAATAAAAAATAGACACGAATGTTTTATAGTATTTGTTAATTAATTTCAATATGTATGTAGTCCATATTAAAATATTCAAAACATCTTAATTTGTATAAACAGAGGGAGTATCTGTGATCAAAATTAAGTTATGTTTACACGGCAATTAACCACCGGAGCCAGCCGCATTTATTTTCTTCTTGTTATCATCCACATTTTGTGTGGACTGAATAAGCACCATCTTTATGTTCTTTACTCAAGCACAGAAGTCAATGGTTTGAGATTTGAGATAAATCTCATCCCAGTGCCAGTAAAAAAAACCATGAAGCGAAGAAAACAATCTATAAAGCACGCAGATGCAAAAGGGATAGTGCCTTGCAGCCACGACACTTCCCAGACCTGCTCTCCCCTTCTCCCCCTCCCCACTCTCTCCCCCAAATCAGAGAGCGGGGGAACCCATCCATCCGGGAAGTCGAGCGAGATGTGTGCCACGAGCAGCAGCTGCGCCGCCGGCCCGTCGTTGTCATCACTACCTGCTACATATCATCTGGAAAGTTATTAGACATGTAACATTATCACTATCTTCTATAGAGTTACAAATAAATATTTACCAAAATACATATTTTTCTTATAGGTACCACTAGCTATAGGCAATGGTTTGCTCTACTTGTAGGTGAGATGTAGTATTTTGATTTATTTTTCTTACCCCACATATTTGTCACCTACATTTAGGTACATATTGTGTTGCACATTGTCCAACATTAATACACATCTATATGTCTTAAAAATATAAGACTATTTTATTGCTCAGTCTTGCACCTAATGGGAGAGAGGTCAAGAAGGAGGAAAAGGAGGCGAGGTGCATAAAGGGAAGGTTGACATGAAGAAGCTCCCAAAGCATGTTTGGGAGATGCAGGAGGCTCTTGCGAAGAGGTGGTAATCGGAGAAGTGGAGGAAGAACGTTTGAGAAAATATGAAGAGCAGTGTTTGATGAAAGAGGAGGAGGATAGGAAGGCAGAGGAAGCAACAAAGAGGAGGAAGGAGAGTGAAGAGGAGATGTTGCTAAAGAAGTTGCAGGGTAAGTGCCTTATAGTAGCATATTGAGTTGTGAGAATTTTCAAATTTTCATACAAGAAGGGCCTTACCTGTAGGCTTTTCGTTGTAGTGTTTTCATGGATTGGATGACACTCTTCCTCTTGATTGGTTTGTTTTATGTAAGTTCATGATCATACACATGAAAAATATGACATGGGTACATGGAGTTTTGTGAGTAACATGAATTACATTGGCTTTTCATTTTCCAACTTTTTTGGAATAGATATTTAGTACAACCATTGTCGAATACCGAGCAACAAATCAGCTTCTAAAGTGTTCGTCCATTTTCCTTTCTTTGTATAACGGGTTCAGTCAGATAATGACATGCGTTTAGTATCTTGTTGTTCGGGAGGTTTCATCTATATGAAAATTATTGTTTTGTTGCCAATGAAGATTAGCATGTTTGTATGCATGCTCTATAGTAAGTTACCATATTCAGATTAGTGTTGGACTAACAAGAGTATGAACTACTCAAATATAGTGATGGTTCCGTGAGTCTATTATAAATGCCATTTTGGTTTGATGTCTTTTTATTGATTTATCTTTATGATAATAATTGAGAAATAGAGAAGCATTGGTGTATCATATATTACCATACTACATATTTTTATTATATTTAGTCATTTCCTTTTTAGTAGACATCTGCTATGTTGCTTAACAATATATTTTTGATCTGGACTTAATTTGGACATGCAAATTGGGGACTGGCATGTCTGACTGAACTAATTTGACCACTGTAAGTTTTGATTTGGATATTTGTCTCTTCCTTGAGACCTATACAAATTACCTAGGAATACATTCATCTAGTTTGGCAAAAGAACTAAGGGGGCTTATAATATGGCTACAGAGAAAGCTAATAAGCGACCGCATAAATTTGCTAATCTTTCGTCTTATTTGCATCTCCTTCATTTGTCCATGTCATGTAGTTTTTCCTCCACATGAACATTACTATTGGTAATAGAACATGTAAGATGAAAAACTATGTAAATATTAGACAACTACTACTTGTGTACCACAATATAAGATGATTTTGTGGGCTAAACTAGCCTTAAAACGTCTTTGATACGGAGGGAGTAATCTGATAACCATTTGTTGACAATTGAATTGTGTGTTGCACATGCAAACTTACTAGTATTCTATAAATATCCCCTACATATCCAAATCAGACAGTTTAAATATCTATTTTGCCAACCAATGGCGGTCAATTTTTTCTCCGGACCAGCTCGGATGTACGAAATCCACAAATCGGAATCAAATCTAGGGGAGGTTTGCGGGCATCTGGACCTCCGCCACGTCAGATTCCAATGTGCCCGTCCCACTAAAATACCACACCGAGAGCCCTTTCTCCCTCACTGGATCTCTCTGCCTTTGCTTTGTATCCACACCCTCAGAGACCGATGCCGCCGTGGCGCGCCCGCCTTGGACTATGCCATCGTTCCACCCCGGATTCAAGCGTAGCCCAGATATCCTTGGCCCCCTATCGATGTCGTGCATGGCAGACACCACCCGCGGCAAGTGTTTGAACAATGCCATCGCATTGTTTTTGACATTCTTGTTGTTTACTTTGAAGCAAACATGATGACAACGTACTCGATGAAGAAGTATGAACCGTTCTGTGAGGCGCGATTGGCCATATGTATACACTACTCTACTAAGATAGTTCCACACACGTCCAGACGTGTCCGTCTTTTTTTTTCTCTAGATAGTATCCGTGAACATTTGGTGTGTCGGTTTCGGTGATCCAAGTTGAACCCCCATGCTTCCCTAGCCCGCTTGACTTATCGAGATTTACACATTCACGTGTCAATTTGGAATACCATCTACCCTCTCTCGACTACTCCCTCTGCGCAGCTTAAAAAACGATCTTATATCATGGAACTGCGCAGATTAAAAAAACGATCTTATATCATGGGACGGAGGGAGGAACACGCATTTTACCGCCGGAGCCCGCATGTCTTTTCCTCTCGTCGCCATCCACAGTTTGTGTGGACTCAACAAGCACCATTTTTATGTTCTTGACTCAGGAGTCAATGGCTCAAGGTCGGGATAAAAACCATCGCCCGCAAAAAATAAATGAATGAATTCCGAAGCGAAAGCAATCTATAAAGCGCGCAGATGTAAAAGGGACAGCGCCCCGCACCCACGGCACTCCCCTCCCCACTCTCTCCCCCAAATCGGAGAGCGGAGGAACCCATCCATCCATCCGTCCGTCCGAAAGGCAGAGCGAGATGGGCGCCGCGAGCAGCAGCTGCGCCGCCGGCCCGTCGTCGTCCTCGCCGTCGCCGCGGCGCCGGCCGCGGATCGGCCTCGCCGGGTGCTTCGGGGCCGGATCCTCCGCGCGCGACGGCGGGGGCCTCGCCGCCGCCGCCGCCGCGGCCGCCTCCTCCTCGCGCGCCCTCCAGGTAGTCAGTCGCTCCTAGCCTCCTAGCACAGGGCTGGTCTCGGGTCTCGGCGTTGGGGCTGGCTTGCGGTAGGGAGGGATTCGTCGGTGGTTACTGTTCATTGGGTCGTGGGATTGGGGATGGTGGTTCTGGCGGCGTAGCTTTGGTTGGGAGGAGCCATGGACTTGCTTCTGGAGCTTTTTATCGCCATTTCCTTTGTACCGCTGCTTGCTCAATCATGATAGGTAGTAGTATGGGCTATGGACGGGCAGTTGACTAGCTGAATGAACATTTATGTTCCTTCCTTACACATCCGTGCCATGCAGGCATGATTAGCTGCCTATGGATTAGCTAGCCTACATCTATACTGCAACCCTCATAATGGACATGAATGGAGAGCTCACAGAATCTGCCATTCCACACTAGAACTATTGGGGGGGTCTCTTGAGTGATAAGCTGAACTAAACCTGTGAACTGCAGCATTTCTGTATGTTACTGAAGTGCCAGTGGGGTTTCATGCTTTCAGTGGATAAGGTTGCTTTCTTTTCCTTCTGTTTTGTTATCTCTGTTGTTGACTGATGTCAGGAAGGTATGTTGTGCAGGCAGCAACTCGGCAAGCAGAGCGAGCAGCGGCTGGGCTAGATTTCCAGCCTTCTCTGTCTGCTAAGGATCTTCGCCACACCAGCGAGCCAGACCCAAGAGTGCATCCGTCTTCAAGCACCATAAGTCACCGTCTCAGGTTCAACCACTTGGACTGTCATGAGAACAAGGAGCATGCCCTACGAATTAAAGATGCTGAAACGAGTGGTCTTGGGAGCTCATCAGGAAAGGATGCCATGATTAGGGGAAATCAAAGTAATGAAGCTGGCAATGGTGAGAGAACATCTGGAGAAGGGGTTAGTCCTATGGCACAAGAGCTTGTAGAACCTGCACCTGACAATGTCCATATTGACGCGGTTTTCATTACAGAAGTTAGTGGCTCCATGTCCCAGCCTGATTTCCACTCCTCGCTGATGGCATCTGAAAGGATCGTGCCTGGCTTGGAAGACGGCGAGGCAGCTCTCCGCAGGACTTCATCCAGAGATGTTTTGTCAAGTGAAAGATCAGATGTTTCTCAATCCAGCTTAACATCTGTGTTGCCTGCTACTTCAAGTGCATCATCCATCATTGGAGAATCAATTCCAGATGCAACTGCTAGCAGAGAAGATGTTCCAACCATATTCAGCGTGTCACATGGTCAGATTGGTGGAAGTACAGTGCATGAAGACATGGTTAGCATTTTCTCAAATGATGGCCCAGAACACTCTAGAGATTCGAGTAATGGTGAAACAAGAAGAAATCATAGAAGGGTCCTATGGGATTCATTTTCAAGACGTGGTTCTAGAGGTTATCTAGATTCAGACACTGATGATCTGGGATTTTACAGTAGATGGCTAGACCTTGGTGATGATCTTTTTGGAGATGAGGTTGAGGAGGCACGATACTTTCATCGTAGACGCCATGGTTCAATCAGAGTAAACCAGTATTCAAGATCTCGGGTAATTGCTCTGGCCTATGGCAGCTATGCCTACTCTTTCATATGTTGCGATTCCATATTTAGGAAATGTTATTGGTGTCACTATGTTCAGATTAAGTTATTAATTGTTGATGTAGGTTTGCACTATTTTCTGAAAAAAAACCTGTACTTTAATCATCATATGTGTTCTCGCTATTTTCTTTCAGCATATTCAGAATTCCGTGAAGTGAACCTACACTATATGCTGCATATGCTGTTTCATTTCTGCACCACTTCTATGCCCGATGTGTTCTCAGTTCTGGTTCTTACACTTGGTAGCATTGTTTTCTATGGTCTTAATCATTTGCTGCTTGATCTCATGCACATGTGTCCTTAAGTTGGTGCTATTGTTTTGTTACAGATTAGGGAGCACCGTCGTGCTATTTTTGATAGTGGGAACGGACAAAGTACTGCTGCTTGTCCTTTGGGGATTCACCAAATTGGCAGATGCACCTGTGATGCATTCTTGGTTGCTGAAGAATCTAGTGCTCGTGCAAGTATATCAAGAATTGTCATGTTAACGGAGGCATTATTCGAGGTTTGCTCTTTCCCTTCATTTTTTAAATGTTTTTGTTTCAGTGTTGAGAACTATTTAGCACTCAGTCTGTTGAGTTTGTGTTGCTCAAGTCTGATTCATTGGATTATCAACATCATTCTACTTGTGTTTAGAAGAACTAAGAGACACAACTGCATATATGTTATGCAGAGTTTTGACACAACTTCTCCCCTGCTTACTTCTGAGTTTTGACAAATGTATGTGATTGCCATATGCAGCTGTTACTCCAGTTACAGACTTCAACACAGCAACATGATAATTTCATGCAGATTCATATCGGAATTTGAAATCGCTACATTAGACAGGAACTTCAACTATTTCCTCTTTTGCATAAAGGTCGTGTTAACCTGTTTGAATTAGTAAATCACCTGACAACAACAAAATAGAATTGGCCCGAGTAAGTTGCAGAACGAAGTCAGTATTGCAGGGATTGTTTTGTGGCTATGTCTGTATGATGGTTGATTAATTTATGAGGCCAAAGCACCACAAGAAAATTAGAAATAGGAACTTTGATAGTTCAGTCTATAGGGGGATGTAAATTGTAATTAACATTAATTTGCACCCATTGACTAAACTAGGAGTGGAATGTTTAAAGGATGATTCTGTCAACTTAACTGCTCCTTTGTTGTTTTTATATAAGATTTCTTCTCTAGTTACTTAATATGCTTACGTGCACAATTTTTTCCAGGTATTGGATGAGATTCACCGGCAACCCTCATCACTTTCACTTTCCATGGCCTCTGCTCAAGCGCCAGAGGCTGTGGTTAATTCATTACCATGTAAGAGCTACAAAAAGCTTGAGACAGCCCAATGCAGTGCTGATATGGAACAGTGAGCTTCTTGTCATTTTAATCTGTCTAATTTTCCTAAGGGAGCAGTTTTACTAATTCTGATGTTGGTATGTTTCTGATAATTGCTTCAAATAAACTTCCCAACAATTTTATCTTACACCTATTATAATCCAGCCAGAAACCATATTGTGAGACACTGAATAATAATCTATACAATTTTAATTGCTAACTAGGCATTGTTGACATCTTAGAGAACTTACGAAGGAAGCATGTTCTGGTTAATACTTTGTCTTCCATGACATAATATCTATCACAATGAGCTAGGTGTTAAAATCACCATGTCAAGTTGAATTTACTAGACACAGTTTGCACTTTGCGGACTTTGCATGTTTTGCTGTTAGCGCCTGGATAAAGGGGATAACAGTGTTGTGATAACTGATGAGTAGAAGTTTGTGTGCAGCATCTAGAGAGACCCTGAATCGTGTGGATGATCGCTGTTTGACACCCTTCTTCTTTTGGTCTTTGCAAATCTGTTATGTCTAGTAGACTAGTACCCACGAGTTGAGAATGATTGTATTGTACATGTCAGATATTGAATTTATTGTGCACTTGAAGCTCGATTTTGTGAGGCCTGGATTCTCTAGCTAAAAATATGGACATCTCTCCATAAAGCTATCATAAGTCCCATGTCAGATATCTTGAAATATAGTTTGGAATTGCAAGTTAACACTTGGATTTCTTCTTTTTCCTGGTTTGAGTCTTTTCATTCGGAGTGGTCCTGGGAGATGCTGAAATGTTAACATTGTGCTTCTCACCTTCTTCAGGTGCCATATCTGCTTAACTGAATATGAGGATGGAGATCAGATAAGAAGTCTCCCATGCAAACATGAGTTTCACCTGCAGTGTGTCGACAAGTGGCTCAAAGAAATACACAGGTAAGGAATAAAAAGCTCCTCCTGTTGCAAAAAGGCAATTTTAGATCGCCGATAACGCGGGCCTGTTTCGCTAGCTATCTCCTGCTAAGGTTTTGTCGATGCAATGCTGCAGGGTGTGCCCGTTGTGTCGTGGGGACGTCTGTGAAGGTATTGTTGCCTCATGAAGACCTTGGCACCGGCTCACCCCCTCAAGGCGCCTCTTGAAGACGGTAGCGCCGCCACATCTCTTGCAGCCATGGACGAAGCTGTTTGGTTGGTCTGGAGAGGGCTGATTCCCCATTGCTGAAACATGCGATTTCATGCATTGATTCGACATGTCAAGTTCCCAGAATATAACAAAGACCTGTACATATCTTTTGTAGCCTTATCCCATGTATGACATCATGTACATATGTGCGAAAATTTGATCCGATTCCACCATATTTGAGATCTATATGTATCCCCCATGTGACAATGATGAACCCAAGTCAACCTCCATCAGGAGGAAGCATATTTCCAATGTAGTATGAATTGTGCCTTCCTGAAACTCAAAATGCTAATGTTAGTCTGAATCTGCATCTACATTGTCCTGACACTCATGTAGAGTGCCAATGTCAAAACTTGAATCTGTAGAATTTGAAGCTTGAATTAGAATTGGCAGGGGCCGCGCGAACGCGTACCCCCTCTATCACAAATTATGACACCCACTCTCCCAAAAAGGGGAGATGACAGATCAACACGCTTGCCAAGTGCAATGCGGGCCATTGATCTAGGCCACGACCCTTCTTGATCGGCCGTCGACCCCGTCCAGGTAAGTAAGTTTTAACGTTGCCCGTGGGCTGCATATGTAGCCGCCCCTCCAGACCCAAGGCAACTCGGCTGCCGATGTGGTACTAAACCGTGCGCTGGTGTGTTTTGTGCAGGAGGGCGCTGTGCGGACGGATGCCTTGCAGCCCGGATTCCGCACGAGGCCACACGGCTGGTCCTGGTCGTGTCTCTGTAGCGCCAGAGAAGAATAAGAGCATCTCCAGCTCTTCAGCCTCCAAGAGGTGCTAAAAATCGTCCCTGAAGATACACCGGCGCAAAACCGCGTGCTCGGGACGTGATGTTTCCCAGTCGCAGCGCTCATATTTTTTTTCAAAAAATTTAAATTCGGCACAAACACGACGCAAATTCAAGCGAAGTTCGGCTAGTTCATACATATTTAAAAATATTTTACAAAAAATAAAAAAACTACTAGGCCCGCCGTCTCGCTCGTCGCCGCCCGCCGTCCTTGCTCTACGAGCCGAGGAGGCGGTAGAACTGCGTGTAGTCGCCGCCGTCGTCGTCGTCACCTCCTCCGCGGCCGCCGTCCCTGCTGCACCCCTCCCCTGGTTGGCGCGGCGGGTTGGACGATCCGGGGGCGTCCTCGTCGTCGGAGCTGTCGCGGATGACGACGCCGTGTTCGTCCTCGCGCCCACGCTTGCGGGCGGCGATCTCCTTCAGGGCCCGGCATTGCCGGACCGTCTCCTCGCGGAGGTAGTTGTCCCGCGCCCACCGTAGGGCGTCCTCGTCGGAGATGCCGCGCCGGGCTATCTCCTCGTACTCCACGGGGAGACCGGGCTCCGGCTTTGGCCTGACGAGGACGAGGCGGCCAGAGGGGGGGTGGAGTCGGCGATGCGGACGCGGGAGCTACGGGTGCGGCGGCTGACCGGCGTGTCTTGGGGCTTCGGCTTGACGGGGCGGAGGCAGGGAGAGCCACCGGACGAAGAGGAGGACGCCCCCGGGTCCATGCGCCTCGGCATCCAGGAGCTCCCACGCCGGCGGGAGAGGGACGGGGGAGCGGGGTACTCCAGTCGCGGCGTGTTGCCGCCCGCGATGTACTCGAGGACGGCCTCCAGCGTGCGGCCTGGCACGCCCCACCATCGGCGGCGCCCGTCGACGTTGAGCCTCCCGGAGGGCACGACGCCGTTGGTGGCCTCGAGCTGCTCGGCGTGGCGGCAACGGAAGTAGGCCTCCCACAGAGGGCTGTCGGGGACGTACCGCGGCCCTTCCCTCGCCGCCTGCGGCAGCGAGGTACGGATACGCGTGATCTCTGCACGCCTCGCAGCCCCGGTGGGCGGTGGTGGCACCGGGACCCCGCCGGCGCTGATCCTCCACGCCCCGGGCACCTGCATGTCCGGCGGGACCGGGTACTCGGCCTCGTAGAGGAGCCGAGCTTCATCTTCATGAAGATGGCGGCGGCCGAAGCCGTTCGCCGCCGCGCCGTCGCCTGGGAAGCGCTCGGCCATGGGTGATGAACTGGAGACGGCGAGAGAGAGGAGAGGGAGGAACGGCAACGGCGAGAGAGTGCGTGTCTCCTCCTCCGGCGCCCTGGGGCGCGTCTTATATAGGCCGAGGCGCCGCCCGTACGCGTGCCGCCGTGTGTACGCGTGACGGGCGAGGGAGGGCGAGGGACGCGCGTTATCCGGTCTTCACTGCGCCGCCCGTGAGGCATCAATGACGCAGGCTGACCGGCGCGGCAGCGCGCGGCAGTTTTGGCATTGATTCGCTACGGGAAACGAGGCGATGAGGACGACGAAGCGGCGAGAAGAGAGACGAATCGCTGGCGAGGAGGGCCCGCGGCTCTTTCGTGCCAAAACAATTCGCCCGGCGCCCCCGAGCACCCCCAGCGCGCCGGGTTCGTGTTGGGTCCGCCGACGCTAATTTCTGCCCGAGCCGATGAAAAACGGGCCCGTGAGGACGCGATTGGGCCGATTTTTCGGTGCCGGCGGCCGAAAAGTGGCCTGGGAAGCCTTGTCGGCGTCGCGACTGGAGATGCTCTAAGACATAGAAATGGTGCTTCAACGCCTGACCCACACCTGCCGCAGATACGCTGTGTTTTCAATGCCTCGCATGGATGGTGGCCAGCTTCTTTCCGTCTGCTGTAGCGTCAGCTGCTGTGTTTGCAGTTTTGTTTCTCTCTAGTGCTATGGGAACTGTATCCGTATGGGTAAAGAGTTCAGGCCAAGATGTTGAGATTTCAGAACAATATGTACTATCATCCACAGATCCAACAATTTCTAGCAGAGTTCAAATCAGTTCCCAAATTTTTGTGGGAGACCTTTCAACATTTGCCAAGCTTCTTTGTGCAGTTTTCCCTCTACGGAAATGAAAATGCAGTGCTCCTGCTTGCCCGTGAAAAATATTTGCTAAGTTTTAGATACAACTCAATGAAGAAACACATGTGGGGATATTTATGGTTAATTTCTAGCAAAAATATACTTTTCAAACCTTTTTGGTAGCAGGCTAACACAATAGTGTTTATTTTTAAGCTATTGTCATGGACAAGACTTAGAAGATTACGGGTACCCCGTGTGGTTGGTACCCGCGACTTAAATTTAGCGGGACAGTGCACGCGATCTATGAAGGCCTCTCATCACACAGGGGTGGAACAACTTATGCGAAACAACTTTTACACACGTGTGGACCCAAAAGTGTGTGTTTACCAAGAGCGAGCCCAATACATTGCAAACACACTTCATTTAATCACCAGTGACGCAACCCATTCGCAATTCTCCATGGTTTCATTTTCTTTTATTTGATTAGTACAACTTCTTACATTTAAGAACTTTGTCGTTGGCTATGAACTTATATATGTTGAATATTATCTTATTGATGTTCGTAGATCTAAGAACTGTGTCACTGGCTATGAACTTGTATTGGCTATGATCTTATAGATGTTCTTAGATTGAGAACTTTGTCGTTGACTATGAACTTAATTATATATGTCTGTTGTGATCTTATAGATGTTCTCAGATTGTGAATTTTGTTATTGGCTACAAACTTATACATGTCACTTCAGATGTTGTTGAACACACGATCTTATTATATGTTGGCTTTAGATGTATGTATGAATATACCTTGCGGCCGTTTTGGCTCTAGGGTGCATGTGCTCTTAGATGAACAGTAAATTCAAAATAAAAAAGCAAATAAAATTTAAAAATTCAGATTTTCGTGTAGATGTTCTTGTTAGTGTAACATGTATGCTTGACAATTTTCAAGGCAACAGGACAGCAGTGCTTCGCCAGTGTAAAATACAAAATTAAGTGTAACACTTGAATGTAACATCTCGCGCCGACTTGTTTTTTTTTCTTTGTATAGGTCAAAAGTCTTAATCTTCCACCTATAAATCTGTAGGTAGTATTTGAGTGACAATGAACCCATCTACTTTGCATTCCCGAGTCCTTGCTTCGTTTGTTGCTTTTGCAGGAATCTCATGGAGGAGGCTTAATGGGACACTTCGGACGCGACAAGACGTTCGCCACGCTCTCGAAGAGCTACTTTTGGCCAAAGATGTTTCGGGACGTCAATCGCTTCACCAACTGGTGTTCTACATGTCGCAAAGCTAAGTCCAAAGCTCAATCTCATGGTCTCTATATGCCTTTACCGATTCCATACCAACCTTAGGAATACATTAGCATGGACTTTGTACTTGGTTTGCCTAGGACTCGCAATGGGAAAGATTCCATATTTGTCGTTGTGGACCGTTTCTCAAAAATGGCACACTTTATTCCTTGTAACAAGATAGACGATGCTTCACATGTGGCAAATCTCTTTTGTAGGGAAACATTGCGTCTACATGGTGTGCCAAAGACTATCATCTCGGACCGCGACATCAAGTTCCTTAGCTACTTTTGGAAGACCCTATGCGCCAAGCTCGGAATCAAGCTACTCTTCTCCACGGCATAGCATCCTCAAACCGACAGCCAAACGGAGATGACAAACCGCACACTCTCCGCTCTACTTTGAGTACTCATCAAGAAGAATATCAAGGAGTGGGAGGAGTGTCTACCCATCGCCGAGTTCGCCTACAACCGAGCAAGACACTCAACAACCGGCAAGTCCCCTTTCGAGGTCGTCTACGGATTCAACCCTTTGTCACCATTGGATATTCTACCTCTACCACTCCAAGAGCGAATCAATTTGGACGCAAGTGCACGAGCGACCCATATCAAGAAGGTGCATGAAGATACAAGAAACACCATCGAGCGCCAAGTACAACGCCTTGCGACCAAGCTCAATGTCAACAAGCAACCTATGGTCTTCAACATTGGTGATCTCATGTGGCTACACCTTCGCAAGGAGCGCTTTCCACAAGAACGCAAGTCTAAGCTTCGACCTCGAGCCGATGGACCCTTCAAGGTGCTCGCACGCTACAACGACAACGCTTACAAGATCGACCTCCCACGGGACAAATACAACGTGCGCGACATCTTCAACATCAAAGATCTCTCTCCCTTCCATGGTGATGAAGAACTCGATTCGAGGACGGATCTTCCCCAAGGGAGGGGAGATGATGCGGAGCATCCCACGACCATCCACATGGACGCCACCTCAACTATCCAAGCTCCAAGTGGACCAATGACAAGGGCTAGGGCGCGTGCTATTCGATCCGAGATGACATCACTCCTACTTGAGTTTTCCCCCTCTTCAAGTGAGACATGGCTACTGCCTAAGTCCGAGATACTATGTGTCACCAGGTACAACGCTCAAGACTCGGAGCTGAGGACTGTAGAAGAAGAGACAGGCGTCAACACTCTGGACAACCCGGAACTTCCGGCCGACCCGGAGCTTCCGGCCACCGATGACCTCGTCCAGCCCAGGCGTGCTAACTCTCCGGTTAGCCCGGACCCCGTCCCGGACCTTCCGGCGCCCGGAACCTCCGGCCTGCCCAGACCTTCCGGCCCCCGGACGCCAGCACCTCTCCATTGTGCCAACTCTCTGGTTAGGCCGGACCCTCCCCGGAACCTCCGGCGCCCGGAACTTCCGGCCTAGCCCGGAACTTCCGGCCCTGCCTGCGCGCAGCCACTTGGGCCGAGGCCCGTGTACCCTTTCGTTACCTAGACTATATATACTCTATCCCGTACAACTTTCTAGGGTTAGCAAAGTTGTAGCTCATATGTGAGGATAGCTTTTGCTCATCCATACGGATCATCTCCCCAAGAGTGACCGCGACCCCTCTACGGAGAAGATCCACCTTGGATTCAAGACCCCTTTACGGGAAGATCCCCTTGTGGATTCAAGACCTCCTCTCG